GTAAAGCTGCCTTTTGCAATTGACTGATGGTGATTTTGTCAATGCCAGTGGTGTTCAAGTAATGCTCGCTCCAGATGTTTTGGGATTGCACCTAAGGCATCTATAACTATTGGTACTATCTTTGCTTTCTTTTGCCATGGTCGTTCTACTTCTATTTGCAAGTTTTTGTATGTTGTGATTTTCTCCAATTCTTTCTCTTCTATTCTGCTGTCTCCAGGTATTACAATGTCCACTATCCAGACTTTTTTGTCTTTCTTATCAACAGTTGTTAAGTCTGGGGTATTGTGTGGCAGGTACTTGTCTGTTTGAATTCTAAAGTCCCAGAGCACTTTAGCGTCTTCATTTCAATTACTTTGTTTTGTGGTCCCACCAGTTCTTGCTTGCAGGCAAATGGTATTTCTTGCAGATATTCCAATGTACCATTGTTGCTACTTTGTCATGCCATTGTTTGTAGTCAGTCTGTGCGATCTTCTTGCAGCAGCTAACTAGGTGGTCCACTGTTTCTTCAGGTTCTTTGCAGAGCGGCATTTGCTGTCTGTTACTGTCTTCTAAATTCTGGCTTTGTTTACATTTGTTCTTAAGACTTGGTCTTGTGCAGCCAGAATTAGCCCCTCCATATCATCATCATCATCATCATCATCATCATCATTATTATTATTATTATTTATTTGTATGCTACTGGACTCTCAAGAGCTCTGGGTGGTTCCCAACAAAGAAATTACAATAAAATCAATAAAACATAAAAGATAAAGGTAACAAATAGCAAGCACGATGAAGTGAGGGGTCTCACTGTCCCTTGTGGAAGGCCTGGCTGAAGATCCAGGTTTTCATGGCTTTTCTAAACAACAGCAGAGTGGGAACTATCCAGATCTCGGGAATCTCGTTCTAGGGGGCAGGCGCTGCTACAGGGTCCTAATAGGTGACATTCTTTAATCTTTAATTTTATATTGTGGAGTTGTTTTGATGGAATGGAATTTTGAAAAGAGATTACGTAAAGAGCTCAGGCTTCTCTGTCTACCAACAAGACAACTCTCCAAAGTTAGGGCAGAATGGGAACAAATTTGGTAGGGAAGGAAAAGCCAACAAGAAAGTTAGAAATGGGGTACTTCTGGCCAGGTGCTGTGGAGAAAAATGCCATAGAAAAAAAATCCCCAATGGCTAAAGAACAGAACATTGCTGTTTCATTCTAAGCCCTCCTCTTTTCTGGTCACAAGCTCCAAAGTAGAACTGCTATAAAGAGGTTGAAAAGAATTCTAGAAGCTGTACTTTGCATGCTTTATTTTTGCAGACTTACTGAACTTCCGCAAAATTATTAATTTTGCATTCTGTCATCTCTAACATCATTCACTATCCTCTTTGAGCACACCAAAGAGAAGGGTGTCGAGTGTACAAAAGCTCTATTCAGTTCTTCATATGGAAATTATTTAGGGCGCACCTTCTTCACCTGCTGATATCTCCATTTTGTTATCTGAGAATCTTCTAGTGTCACAAGGTCATAAACTGAAAAACATGTCACAAGACCTAAGAATGAGACAATCTGCCTAAGACAGCCATCCTGGGTTTTAACCAAGGTCACAATGAATGTTGTAGCTTAAATTATAATACTTTGCAATATCTCAGGACGTTAATATATAATTTCCGAACAGGAGACTCACTACACATGCTTCTATGCCACTGATGAAGTGAGGCTATCCATACACAAGCATAGCAATCAGTCCTTGCAATTAAATACCAGATTTTAAAATATATTTAGTGATTTTTTTTAATTTAAAGGTTATTGTTTGTAGCATGGCTGTGAAGCAAGCAAGTATGATTCAACTATAAAGATTCAAATCTTTTTTCCCTAGCATTCAAATAACATTATTTTTATCCATTTTCAGGGATGTAGATTCCTAAGCTTATGTCTGGAAATACTAGCCTTAGAAAAACAGATTTCAGATCATTTTTGCATGATATATGTTTTTTATATGGAAGTGCCATGGCAAACTTGGTTCAGTGGCAATAAAGGTTGCAATAAAATAGAGAAGGGGATTTGGCCCACAGCTAGCTGTTTCCTCTGTGTGGCAAACAAATAGTATCCAGTGATTTGTTTGCCTGGTCTCTCTCTCATGCTCTTCTGCATACTAAGTGTTGCCATGAGGAAAATGAGAGGGAAGAGGGGACAGTGACTGGAGCAAACCTGAAAGTCTATTCATGGAGTGCAAAATCTAGCACAGTGTTTCTCAACCTCAGTGACTTTAAGATGTGTGAACTTCAACTCCCAGAATTTCTCAGCCAGCATGGCTGGCTGGGGAATTCTGGGAGTTGAAGTACACACATCTTCAAGTCACTGAGGTTGAGAAACACTGGTCTAGATAGTAGTTACTGTGGGTGATATGGGACAAAGATGTGAGAAAACAAAAATGAGAGACCCTACCCAGTGGCACTACATAGCCCCTGATCATTTCTCTCCAGTGGAGTGCAGCATCCTCATAAAGGTGGTTCCTAAACCTTTCAGGTATAAAGGTCCCTTTTTTACATCAAAATATTTTGCAGGAACCCTGATGATGACAGTCCATTTAAGACCACTGTTGACTGAAATAAAACCTAATGACAAAAAACTACTATAAATTCAGTAATCATCAGTAATGTTTTTAAATGAAATTGTGTTTTAATCATCACAAGAGCATGTGCTTATAATTGGAATATAGTATTACATATAGAAAGAGCCAGTTTGGTGCAGTGGTTAAGGCACCAGGCTAGAAACTGGGAGGCCATGAGTTTTAATCCCACCTTAGTCAAAAAGCCAGCTGGGTGACCTTGGGCCAGTCACTCCCTCTCAGCCCTAGGAACGAGGCAATGGCAAACCTCTTCTGAAAAACCTTGCCAAGAAAACTGCAGGGACTAATCTAGGCAGTCACCAGGAGTCAACAATGACTCAAAGGCTCATACGCACACATTAATATATATATATGTGTGTGTGTGTGCGTGTTTGTTCAACAGAAGGGTTATCAAGGGAGGAAACCCTTTGACAACCCACTAAATTGGTCCAAAGGGGTGGTGATATTTTTACCTTTCCACTCAATTCCTCCACCCCAACGCTTTCAAAAAATAATAAATAAAAACTAAAATCTAACTAGACTGTTTTTTTAAAGACCAAGCCTTCCACCCCACCCCCCCGTACCTTTATTTGGATGAGAGAGCCCTTGTACATCCATAAGAAGCAATCGCATCTCTCCTGTTTTGCCACCAGGAGGTGGTGGAGTACAATAGGGGATGCCAGGGCTCTTGTGGAGCCTAGAAGGGCCTCCATGGCTAACATTTAAACACTAGCGTGTATGTGCATGGTAATAGAAATACTGGTGGCTGGCTGAAGGAGACCATGCAGGTGCCTCCTCCCACTTCTTGAGTGTGAACTTTATCGCTTAGACCCACTAGTGCCAAAAAGGGCCAAGATAAGCTGCTGGTGCAGCCTCAGAGCTTGAGTGGGACGGGTGTAAAATTTCATGGAAGAAGTAATATGTAAGTGTGGCTATAACAGGTGGGATGCTATATGGGGTCAAGGAGAGTAGGGTAGGGACACATATATGGGAGTAGTGCTGGTTATGGATTGAGTGCATATATGTGCAACTTCTAGGAATCATTGCCAGTCATGATGCAGGAATATGACAGTGGTGGGAAACCACGTTTTGTCTATGCTGGGGAGAGAGAAATACCAGCACTGGTTAGGAAGAAGGAAGTAGGAACCAACCCACATGAATTGGTGCTGTTCCTTCCAGACTTCCTCCTAGGGCAGTTCAGATTTCTCATTGTTCACCTTTCCCAGGCAATGAAGTATGCTTTGTTTAGCATCTCTGTAAGCAGATGTTTTGCTGTGTTTTGTTTTCCATGTTTAGTATGTATCATAGGCTCCTTGCAATAACTCCACAGCTCTCCAGAGGTCCATGGTTTGGGGGACATTGTCATAAAGGATAATTTGAAGATGAAAGCTGATTATTGTGTTTATATTGAATGCTTCATTTTATTATGTTCTTAATTCTCAGATTCTTCTTGATGAACTTTCTTCCACTAAACACTGGGTTTCCATGCATGTTTCAGACCATAGTGGATTCCACTACCGTCAGTTTTTATTAAAATCTTTGATTGTCAAAACTGGGACTGATTGTACTATAAAGATATATGATCACCCAACCAATCAGCAAACATCCAATTTTCCAAAAGATGAAGGAGATGATGATGCAGAAGCTTTCTGCATGGAAAAGCAACAGCCAGATCACCCACTATATCTGAAAGAGGAAATAGAGCTCTGCACTGATTTAATTAATACTTACCCAGGGCATGAAACGTTATGGTGTCACAGGTGAGAAAATTTATTTAAGAATATGGGGTTGAAAGGGACAGTTACCTCATTCAAATCCAGTGCCTTTTTCCAAGTCAGCTTCCTTTATCTGGTATCTTGTGATATGTTGAGTTCCTCCTCTAAATGCCCAGGCCTCTAAACAGGTTTGGTGGGGGTGCATGAGGGGTACAATTGTAATGATCCATCAGCAAGGTAAATTCTGCTGGCAGATGGACAAAATTATGCAATATTATTTTATTGCCTTTTCATGGAATTAATAGTATGTGTAGCTATTGTATTCAGCTATTGTATTGTATTCATTTACAGAAGGTAGGTTATGTTAAATTGGAGCTTAGTCTTTCAAACTTTCTTTTATACTCAATATTTAGAAGAAGGTCATGTTAAAAGACATAAAAGTTTGATTTCTGTATGTTTTTTGTTCTTTAAAGACGTCATGTGTTCTACCTTCAACACCGCTTAAAGAAGAAATGTCCACTTCCAAGCATCTGGTCATCCACTTCAAACAGTAGTGATGGGACAGTTAATAATTCACATCCTAATGTTACAGCTGGTCATACAACACAAGCCATGGATGTTGACAGCTTAACTGAATGCAACAAACAAAGCTACAGTCAAGAAACCAAACGCCTGAAACGTGCTCCTGTGCAGGACTATATCAACATGGAAGAAGAATACAAGTTCATTGATCACATTTTGTCAACATGTAGGGAGGCGGACCAGGCAAGGTTTGCAGGTTCATACAAAAAATGGCTAGTTTCTTTTCTAGGTCAGTGAAGTTCTTTTAGAACTCTTTAGGGTCTTTGTTTAGTGCAATATCTTATTTTCAGACAGGTGTACTTATGGCCCCTGGCACTTTTCACCCCTTTGTTGTTCCTGTCAGTGCTAAACTTCATATGCTGATGTTGGGTTTAGTTTCATTTATATTTTTAAAAGCAGCCTTGTGTTAATTTTTATGGATCTTTGTAGGATAACCCCATATAAAAAAGAATTGTTTAATGTTAATATAAATTAAATGCAAATTTGAAAGTAATAATATAACTGGAGTAATAGGAAAACAGAAAGGTAGAGAGAAGAAATGAAAAATTTCATTTCTAAATACCTCGTCCATAATAAATGCACCTAAGTCATTGGTCAGTGAAAACAGTGGAAAATCATTCAGCATGGCAGTGTTAGAATGGTTTTGAGTACAAGTCTTCATTTTATAATTGCATTGCATCACTGCTCTTCTGACCTCTTTTCATTTCACATTTGAATTGTTCCAATAATCTTACAGTCCTATGACTTTTTTATTATAGTGAAAGTGGGATATAGCTTTGTGAAATTGGATAGTAATATAAAAAAGGTCTACTAAACTAAAACTAATCTCTCCAAATAAGAACAGTGGTGTTTAGGGGTTTCTCTGGCTTTCATGAATTTGGAGGTTGGAAGATACGGAAGTACAAGAAGATGACCAAGGAACAAAACTATCTAAGCTTATTCCTCCCTGTTATTTTCTTGGCACATGCATATTCTCCATTTCCCAAACATATGAAACTTTTCACACCTGGACTTTTATTGTATGTGATGATGTATATGATAGGTATAGGGTGTAATAGACAATGCTGACCGTATGTGTTATCTTTGTAAAGATGCTTCACTTAATGCACAGTCTACCATGCACTGGGACTGATTCATCTTCCATTTATTGCAATAGGACCATATATTGTTCCTTTGCAAGACCCACTTAAATCACTTGAGGAAGTGCAATGCACCACAAAAAAGATTTGCTTCATTTGTTTCAGTTTTCTTCAGGTTATCCATGTAAATGCACACAGGAGAGAAGAACATGGGGATGCAAGAAAAAGAAGGTTGTTCATGATGGGGAGATAATTCCTTCTGTGCTTGAGCTGGACTGATTTTATGAAGGCTTTCAAAGAAACTAGTGAAATATGACTTGAAATCCATTTTTGCTTTCTTTTTTTATTTTTAAGCTGAAATTCAAGTTAGATTTGCTGCAGTCACATAGAGGCAACTGTAGTTATTTAATTTGGTTGCCCTTCCATTATAGATGTAAGGTCAAATTCTATCTTTCAGTTTGCATTTGTACCTCCCAGGGAAAGCACTTGGGATTTTATATGCAATAAAACCAAATTCCAAGTCTGGAATTCAATTGCAGAGTATTCCTGTATTTTAACCTTTGCTTATAGCTTGCAAAATTCAGGGGATATGTTTCCAGGGTTTACAGGAACATAACCGGAATGACTGAAAGAAAGTATAATTTTAAGATTCAGAGAAATAAGGATGAACAGTGCCATTATAAATGGAAGACCAAATAAAAACCTGCCTTTTACAGCTGTGACTGCATAGTATAAGAGACCTGTTGCAAGCAAACTGGAAGTTAGATAAATGAGCATGGTTCATAGCAAAAGTCTCTTCTGAAATGTGAGGTTGTCTAGAAACACAAATTGGAACAACTATTTTAAAATGACAGGTATCTATAAAAGCTATACAAGATCTTTACTTAGAATATAGATAAAAACTTGTGAAGTTGTATTAATTGAGAATCCATTTTGTGAACACTAATTTCATTGGTTCCTTTGAAGTCTCAGAATGGAAATAAAATGCACACAAGAGTCACATTTATTTAACTATGCCTCTGGGCGCTAGTGATTATTACCATACATTAAAGGCACCTAGCACAACTCTGCAGTACTAAGTAGCAATATATTAAGCATTTAGCATGTCAGAAGTCAAAATACTCAGACCTAATGACTGAACCAGGACACTACTGAGTAAACACCTAATCACCTTATCCAATACCAAGTGTTTCTTCATAAAATCTGTTAAATTTGTTAATACAAGCACAGCATAAGGATCAAGCAGTAAAGTTCATGGGTATTCTTAAGGATCCAGGAAGTATTACAATGCAATCCTAATTCGAAAATGTGCTGATTGGAGGCTCTGAGAATGAGGCACAAAGTGCCTCCACGGGGGGTTGCATTAATTTATTTTATTCATTCTACATCTCAAGTTTTGTTCCTCTGCAAGCAAACCAGCAAACTCCAAACAACTAATCTAAGTCTTCCTCTTACATACATTTAAAGGTTGCCACTTCTCCCCCCCCCCCCCCCCCCCCCCCCC